AATACCAATACTACGTCCATGAAGAGACGCTTCTTGAGCGAGGAGGCCACCATTACCACCAAGAAGCAAGTGTTTGCCAAGGGAAAGGCGAGGTCGGTCTCTATGCCCGTTGCCAGCTCGCTGCTCTCGCCAACAAAGCGAGCAGAGATGTCTCGCTCACCCGCTGTGCAGCATCGTAAGGAAGCGCGCAAATAAGTTGTTATATGAGGCTTGGATTTGAGTTCGAATACTGGCTGCAAAATAAAGGGTTACAAGATTTGGCTAGGGAGGCAGAATTGTCTAAAGTTTGCTTGTTTTAAAAGGCCGGATTATTATGTCACATGGGATGGATGGGTTGGGCTGACATTATATGGACTAGGCTTTACGAGTGGATTGATAGTGATTATGTGTATAAGCAACTATTTATGGCCAGAGAATTTTATGAACTGACTGATTATAACATATCAACAAACGCTCGATATGAAGTTGTCGTGGATTTGAGGATAAGAAGCGAGTTGCGTCCATGAATATCTCAATGAAGACGTGTACCCTAGAGATGGGCTTGGTGGTTGGGTCTAGACTCTATTTTATATGCCTCGCAGCTGATGGGGAAATGTTTCTGATTATGGAAAGCAGGCAGTAAGGACTCACGCTGGTAGAGCATCGTAGATAGGTACTTCTGCGAATTCTAAAGAGGTACCTATGTAATATTTGTTCAAGACATAGAAGACCAAGAAATACTGTTACGACAACTGAAGCCCCCGTAAGCCAGAGGACACAGCACTCTGTTAAGAACAAATAAATCACTTTGGCTGCGGCTATGTCGGGCAGCAATGATTGATATTCATCTCGGCATCTTGGCAATACCTTTGTGTCGGAGATATTCATCTTGGCGCAGTGGCAGTGCTGAGCCTTGGCAGTCCTGGTTGGTGGTTTGTCCCACGGGCCACGATGCAACTTGGCGGTGTTTTTGGCCTAAGCTCTAACAGTAACGGAAAGATTCCGAAGCAGCGCGGCCAATTAAGTCGTTTTACATACTTCACAAGCCTGTATGCAGCACGATCTCATGGCTGATATTGATGGCGGTTGATCCAGCCTCCTAGTCTCGGGTGTCGCCGCTGCACCTCATTTGCTCAGCCCCTCCAGATTGGACATTCACTGGACTGGAGCTCTTCTGCCAAGATACCACGCCGTGCAGCGGGCCTGGGAGGTCTCACTTGGCGCAGCTTTAGCGCCGACCTTTGGCTGGAGGAGCTCCATGTGCCCTGAACATGGATCCGCCGCGCTTTGAGTGACAGGCCAAGTATGACATCAGCTGCGGGATGCACCACCTTTGGGGACACGGCCATGTGCAAATTCACGCCAACAAAGGGGCAGCAAAAAAGGCTGCAGCAACAGCGCAAGTAACAAAGAATGAAAAACCAAGGAAACGGGAAAATGAAGTCGCGGCGCGGTTTCGGGTAACCGGCAGCGGATCTGACGTAGGTGGACCGTCGTTGATGATGATACCGCGAGGAATGAGACGGAGGGGCGAGATGCGGGTTCTAGATTTGCACCTTGCAGCGGTTCGCAGCTGGTCTGCGCAAGGCTTTTTCTGCTGTTTTTATTTCATGCCCAGCCAGTACAGCCTCTTTTTGGTCTTGATTCTGGAACAAAGACCTGGAATGCCACCCGTTGGCCGCTTGTCGGTATGTGCTGACACCCCTTTTGTTTGTTTGTTGGTTGTCTATTTCAGCTGGAGGGAGGCCTTTTTACTTTTTTTTCTTTACCCGCCTTAGCAACTTGACTGATCAGCTCTAGTTCGCAGCTATATATTACAAGAGCTACAAATCGCCAGCGACCCCTCACAACGTCATCCCCTCTGGTTTCTATGAGGCTGAGTCGTGGATAATCAAAAGTCTTGGCAGCCTTGCTGATCAACAATAATTCCTATTTCCGTAAACATTTTCACATTGCTTGATCGCTATAGTCACTTTTTATATATATTTTTATTTTTATTTTTTATTTTTTTCTTTGCACGATGCCGGGAGACATCACAACGCATCACGACGACACATCGTCGTCAGGCTCAAGCGACCATGAGGAAGAACACAAGGGACCTCCCGGCGGCTACGACAAAACTCCCCTCCCAGATGCTCCTCAAGGATACACCCTGCGCTTCGTCTTTCACTCGGCCTCAAATGTCCCCGTTGCGGATCTACATACCGCATCTTCAGATCCCTTCTTGGTAGCCACGCTCAAGGGAACGCAGCCAAAACGCCACAAAGAAGACCCAGATCTCAAGTATAGGACACGCACCATCCACCGAACCACGACGCCAGAATGGAACGAAGAATGGATCGTGGCCAACGTGCCCCCCAGCGGCTTCACTCTCAAGTGCAGAATGTATGATGAAGATGTCGCCGACAAAGACGACAGGCTGGGCAATGTGACGATCAATGTCGATTTCGTCTCTGAAGACTGGCCCGGCATCCCTCCCCCGGGGCAAGAGTTTGAGGCCAAGAAGCGCGTCATGAGCAAACGTGCCTTTATTCTCAAAGGAATCGCCAGCGCCATCAGCCACGGGACTCATCTCGCTCCCCGCCTGCGCATCAGCATCCAAGTGCTGGGCAAGTCGGAGCCTCCCTTTGCGCAGATGTGCACCTTGGCCCCGACGCGATGGATTAAGCACAACAGTCCCATGATTGGTCGCCTCATCGGAGCAAAGGTGAATACAAATGAGTCTGATGATGAGAAACCCAACGGAGAGGACAACGAGCCCCGGTCGACAAAATACGAGTAAGCCATGGATATCACAACATGCCTTTTATGCATATACTAACATGTGTTGTGATTTAGCTTCCAGGCAAACGAGATACAGCTGCAAGGTCCTGTGCCATCGACGCTCTACCACCGCTACGTGGAATTTCGACCAGTTATCGGCTCGCTCTTCTCATCCACCGGCATCCGGGGAACCATCCTCAACAAGGCCCTGCACAAGCAGCACCACAGGATCTACAACTACGACAGCACTACCGAATACGGCACTTTCAAGCCATGCTCCAGGGAAGCCTCGCTCCAGTTCCTCCGGATGGTGCATTTCGACGAGGGCGGCCGCATCTTCACCTACGTGCTCACTCTGGACGGCCTCATGCGCTTCACCGAGACGGGTAAAGAATTCGGCATTGATTTTCTCAGCAAACACACGATGCACGCCGATGCCGAAAAGTACATTGCCTACTCGGGAGAATTCTTCATTCGCAGACTGCAGCACCCGGATGCCAACGACAGCTCGGAGCCGAATGAGAAGACGCACCCGTCTGAGCCTATCCCCGGAGGTCCACCGACCCAGCCGCCGCCGCCGAATCCTGCCTTCTACCAGCTCTACATTGATAACGAGTCTGGAACATATCGCCCGGAGAAATCTATTTTGCCAGATCTCAAAGAGTTCTTGCAGAAGAACTTCCCCGACATGGGCATCGTCACTATGAATGTCGAAGATGAGCACCTGCAGAAGCTCAAGGACGAGCAGCGGGCCATCAAGAAGAGCGAGGGCCGCATGATGCACGTGGTCATGAACAGCAGCTCCGACAGCCTCAGCTCTGTAGAGAGCGAGCTAAACGACGAAAACTACAGCTTGGAGGCGGGACGGAGGAGCAAGAAGGAGGCAGCACATGCAGTCTTGAGACATCCCAATCCAGAGCATTTCAAGGAGGCTGCGGAGGTGATGCTGCCACATCGCGAGAAGAAAGTAGAGTGAGAAATAAGAGTGAGACACAGGAGTGAAAAGGAGTGAGAAGGAGGGAGGAGGAACTGAAGATGTTGATTGAAGGAGAACTGTTCAGAATTTCTATGACTGTATGGATATGACATGATACCACCACTCTTTCCTTTTAAATATCAATAGTACCGCCATCATTGCCAATAATGTAATCTTTGAACCCTGTATTTCTAAACTTCCCTGACGACTCCGCTGTGCACGCCCCGGTGAAGAATTATATCTTAGGCCTCACTGACACCCACGTGCTCGAGCACTTTGCTATCTCGATGCCTCTTCCATCTCGAATTTCGCATTTAATATTCGTTCTTCTCCCCTCTACGCTGTCCACCCATGCATTGACCAGTACTGTCTCGTTGATCGGCCCAGGCTTCAAGAATTTAATCTCAAGTCCGGCCGTCACATTTGCTGCTCCAAAAGTAGATCCAACTTTGCCCAGAGCATTGTTGATGTCGTGGAGAATTCCCATTGACTCATCCGCAATGGTCATAATCATGCCACCGTGTAACAGGCCTTCGTATCCACACAAGCCCTCACCCAATGCAAAAAGAGTGCTCACGTGCATAATGGGGCGCGAGGGATCCTGGATATGCGTTTCATCCTCGGTGTGGAAGAAGGAGAGAACCTGTTGCACTCCGCGCGGCGTGGCCAGCGTGGCGCCAAGTAGCTGGTCGCGAGATGGGCTGGAGGGATTGAAGCATTGAGGGACGAATGGGACTGTGTTTGGCGTCTGAATGAGGCATGCACACCACGGGATTGAGAGAAAATGGGAGACGGCTGAAGTATAGAGCGTTGGGGGAGTGTTGGGCGGGTTGAAGCCGAGAGGAGGGCTGAGGACGCGATTGCGCAGCGTGATTGCGAGGGGAGAGGATGTGGTGGATTCGCTGGACTGCGTCATGTTGGCGTACTCGGGCGGCGGAAGGGGATGATGGCTGCTCCAAGGTCGCGACATGGGGATGATTCGACTGATGTTGGGCGACGATGTGACGGTGTGGATTTGCATGTGGTGTTTGATTGAGGCAATCTCCCAGCTGAGATTGCCGAGGTCGTCCACTTTTACCCGCGTTGAGCTGCTGAAGGCTGCTGGACCTGGAGCCGAGACGGCGCTGAGTGTGCACCTAAAACGAAATAAAGTGTGAGCAGCACGCAGCCACCTTTGTCGCCACCACCACTTGTGCCTGAAATGCTCTATTCACAGCATGACAGCTCCCGTAAAGACAAACAATAAATCAGCAAAAAGAGTAGCTCTGACGAGCAAAAGATGGGGCTTCACCGGGATTCGAACCCGGGGCCTCCTGCAAAGGCGATTCTAGAGAACCGGGGACTCCAGGTTTGTTTTCCCGAAGCAGGAATCATACCACTAGACCATGAAGCCGATTTAGTGCAAGACTGGCGATGAGCACATTGGTATGAAGCTTATATAAGAGAGTGGGACAGACATCGACGTTCTCTCTGACCTGGGCTCACACAGCACACCTAGCCAGATGAGAATGAAGGGATAAATGCATGAGATTGTTGTTGGCTTCTCATCTTCAATGGCACCGGGATGCTCAGTGCACTTGTCTCAGGGGCGCTGAATAGCCTTCTGATCCGGCCGATCGTGATTAGAGAGCGTGAAGAATAAGAGATGGACGCAGGGCATCATAGGAGAGTCATGCGCCAGCCTCGAGAGTGATTGGAGTCATCAGAAATAATCATTGAATGGTGATTTCTCTGTCAGTCAAGAATGGCGAGATCAGTGATGGAGAAAAAAAAACGAAATGTTAAAATGCTAGAAGAGAGTTTGACATGCTGCTCACATGATGTTTAGCCTTGACAGCCGTCACGATAAAGGCTCCTTCCCTCGCAGTAGAGTAGAAGCAGTATGACTAACGGCGGCCACTTATTCTCCCGTCCAAATACGCCAGCAATTCAGATTATTCGAAATTATCGTCTTCATTCGAAATTTTCTCATCGCTTCTCGCGTATAATCTTTCGACTCACGCCTCTATCATCAAGATACGAAAGCATAAGCTCGTCATTACACCCCTTACTCATGAACGAATATTGTCGATACGATCCACGATGCACCTCCCTCCCAACGATACGAGCGGGTCGGAGCTGAGCCCTCGAGAAATCGAAATCCTCATTACCATCGAACGAACAGGCGCGGGTTTCTCGATGGTGGCAATCACACTGACTCTGCTCTCCTTCTTACTATTCAAGAGATTAAGAACTACCCCCAACATCTTTATCGTTTTGGCATCCATTGCCAACGCTGGCGCGAGCATCGCGTCCATGATTGGATATGATGGTTTGGATAAAGGAGAGGAGTCAACTCTCTGCCAGGGGCAAGGCTTCATCTTCGAGTGGTGGGTTATAACTTTTGCAATCTTGACACGCAGAGGTAGGATGATTAACAAATTTCATGACATCTAGGTTCATGCAATCTGATCCATGGTGGTCATTCGCCATGGCTTTCAACGTCTTCCTCGTCTTCTTCAACAATGCCAACCCGGCCGTCTTTCGAAAGCGCATCTGGATCTACTGTATTATCTGTTTTGGTGGCCCCTTGGTTCCTGCCATAGTCTTGGTGTCTATCCACGACGATGCAAAAGGCCCCGTCTTTGGGAATGCAGCGGTATGGTGCCCATATCCAACTGACCGCCCATAGATGCTGATACATCACTAGCTTTGGTGTTGGATTGATTCAAACTGGAGCTTGGTTCGTCTCTATGCATATTATATCCCTATATGGATCTGCATTTTTGGATCCATCTTGATCTACGTCGCTGTAGGATATCATGTATTCCACCACCGCAACCGCTTACGAAAATTCACAATGCCAATTACAAGAAAAAGAAAAATGAGCAATTTGCGTGCAGCTAGTGCAGCCGGAGACTCTGCTGAAGAGGTACACATCCTCGCTCTACACCACCCTTTTGCTGTTGCGACATACACATGCTAATCCTTTCTTCAGAGCCTCACGCGAAGGCCAGATCACTATGGTACCGCCACTACTGAAGTCCAGATCACGTCCATTACTCCCGAGAATTCTTATTCAGGCCTACCTGCGATGTCTCCGGCTGTATATGCGCATGGCTCTACAATTGTGCCATACAGCCAATCGTGGATGCCAATGCAAGGAGGGGGCTATTATTCTCCAGGAGTTGAACGAAAAACGCTTCAACAGAATGCAACTGTATCTGCTACGAAACCAAGGGAGCCAAGCACATTATTGTCACGTTTGCGACGCGTAAAATCGAATGCATCTCTCAAATTGAAACGATTGGATCCGGTCAAAATGGCCTATTTACGCACAAGTTTCATATTTGGGTTTGCGATTCTGATTACGTGGATTCCAAGCTCTGTCAACCGACTTTACAGCCTCACATATCATGGCCGTGTCAATTTCCAGCTCAGTGTCGCCAGTGGTTGCGTGCTGCCCCTACAGGGAGTCTGGAACGCCTTGATCTACTTCACCACGAGTTAGAGCACCGTTCGTGAAGAGCTAAAGGCTTTGAAAGCGAAAATTTGGACGGAGCGGCATCGAGATTATCACAATGCCATGCAGATGAGCGACAGATTAGACCCCATGGCTTATGGGAATAGAAACACAATCGAGTTGCCCATGATCTCACGAAGTAAGGTCTCACGAGTTTACGATAGTGACGAGGTAGAGTTGTCGGAGCAACTTCATAGAAGCGGATCCATCTAGTTTCTTGGAAGGAAACGCTCTAGGCTATGAAAGAAGATACTTATCGACGTATATGTAATGAATTACTACTAATTATTTCGCAAGTCGCCACCATAGTAGATGGCGATGTTTGTGCGAAGAGTTTCTCTACTCAGATTTAATTTAGCAGATTCGATGACGGCAGAGCATCATTCATACTCTTCATCTTTTTAAACATTGAGTGTTCTAGGCTTTCTAATTTCTCGTTCTCAGTTGTACTTGGCATATATATCTTCGCCCTCTGCAGTATCGACGCCATCACGAATCGCGGCAGTGACAGCTTCATCAATGTCAACATCGCCCTCCACCAGATCCAACCAGCCACTCTTGACCCCCTCAGCCGCAAGTATCCTGTCTATAACGTGCGCCACCGACTCCCTGGGGATATTTCCCTTAACCTTCTTGGTTTTACCAAACTCGACCTTTCCCACGGGGTCATCTGTCAATGTGCCAGGACGCAGGTCGATGCCCACCAAAGTCGGGCTCGTCTTGGAAACCTCATACAGGACCTCGTCGGCGGGGAGCTTGGCCTGGTAGTACGTGGCCAGCGGGCCGTTGTTGACCTTTTGGTTGTACTCTTCCCATTCGCTAGCGGACCACCAGGGGGCGCCTTTGCGGCGGGAGCCGCTGTAGGAGACGAGGAGGAAGCGGCTGATGGAGGGCTTGGCGGCGGCGGCGTTGATGAAGTGAATGGCGGCGTCGCGGTCGATGCGGAATGTGCCTTCGGCGCCGTATTTACCTCCAGCACCTGTTTTTGAACGACATTGTTGGTTAGTACGAGTGAGAAGTGTCTAGACTTTGCTTTATATATATATATATATATATATGTATGTATGTATGTATGTATGTATATTTGCACGTACCGGCACTCCAAGTAACGTAATCGGCGTTGACTTCGTCCAAGATGCTCGCTGCCTTTTCCTGCGTGTCGACGCCTTCGATGCTGCGCACGAGCACGTTGAGTTTGCCTGGGAGGCCCGCGCCGAGCTTCTCGACGGTTGGGACTTGCTCCTCTTTGCGGATGACGCTGGTTACGACCCATGAGCGCTTGAGGAGGAGGGGAGTCAGGAGCTGGGCGATTTTGCCGTGGCCGCCTAGGATGAGGACGTGGCGAGGTGAAGCCATTTTGGAGCTCTATGATAGTAAACGGTGAATTGGGGGGATTAATTGGACAAGGAAAAGGACGTTATATTTGCTATTTCTGAGCTATAATTATTATTCAAAAGGTATTAATGTAGATGTTATATTTTCCAGGGCCAACGCCATTATAATAGCTCGGGAAAGCTTCAGGTAGCATTCCGAATGGGATCACGCAAGAGACGTATGACGACACTGATGGCTTCATTTTTCGGGGTTAGTGCGGGGGCGGGGGCGTTGGAGAATTTAAAGTTGCCGTGCGCATCCCGAGTGAGATTAGAAATAGGAACCTGACAGGTTAACGCCGAACCGAAGGAGAGAGGCTGAGGTGGTTGATGGAGGATATAAATGCCTTGGTACTATTTGACCGAGGTATAAAAAAGGCTGGGCGGTATTTTGGAGAGGACGCGGGCTTGAAACTGCCAGTGGCAATATGCGGTTGCAGAGGACGGAGTGCTTGGGCCTTTGATGGGGATTAAAAAATGCTGTGAATTCCTTGTAAGGCCAACCTAGAATAGACGAGGCTCTCAGGCCTTTGGGGGGGATTAAAAATGCTGTGAACTAGCTTCTGTCGATCTCTCGAGATGGTGTGCTCATTTTTTTTGTTTTTCAAGCCGCATGGTCAGTTCCGAGAGGCTGCCTATGAGCGAGAATATGAAGGAAATATAGCTTTCGAAAGAGTTAAAAATGCTGCGAAAGGCCTATATGCCGGCACATATAGGGTACAAGTGTGCTTCGTACCACTGTTGCATGTACGGGAATTGGGCAAAAAGATGGCTTTAGGGAGAGCTGAAAATGCTGTGAAGTCAGAAAAATTCCACTTTTGACGAGAGCCATTCACAGTTGTTGAAAAATTGCCATGAAGTCACTGCAGTTCAAACAATACGCCCTTTGTACTTTATACAAGACCCATGCCTTGCATCGGGGGAGGTTAAAGTTGCTGTGAATCCCTTTCCAGACCGCTGGCACTAGGTACCAGGCCGGTTCAGATCGTCTTATGTCAGCACGCAGCCTCTGATCTCAGCGGCACTCTGACACAAAGGAGCTCTGTTTGAAGCTTGTGCAACGCTGGTCGGTCCCACGCGATACAAAGGGATTGGTGACTTCATAATCTCACTTTATCATCAAATAATCAGCTACTCAGCTGCAGCAAGAACTTTCGATTTCCATCGTAGGAAGCCGTCATCCACAGCGCACCGTAGCTCCCCCCTCATCCACGCTCAAGAGCATTTTGTTGAGATCAGAGTTACATGGGCTTGAGCTCTTGCAGGGGTCTCAGTCGAGTCATGTCCAAATCTGTTTGCATTGTCGGTTAGTTACGAACCAGAATCCCTGTCTCTTTCGATGGACTCTAATGACCTGCAGGTGCTGGGCCTTCCGGCCTTGTCGCTGCCAAGACGCTTCTTCACAACGCTCCCAAGGGACACTTCAAGGTCAGCGTCTTTGACAGCCAGGCTGCCATCGGTGGTCTGTGGCCGACCTCAAAGACTGATTCGGGCCGCCTAGTCCATCCGTTGATGGTT